AAGGGTTAGTTCACCCAAAAATGAAAATTCAGTCGTTAATTACTCACCCTCATATTGTTCCAAACCCGTAAGACCTTCGTTCATCTTCGGAACACAATTTAAGATATTTTTGATGAAATCTGAGGGCTCTCTGACCCTCCCATAGACAGCAAGGTAACTACCACGTTCAAGGTCCAGAAAAGTACCAAGATGATCGATAAAGTAGTCCGTGTGACATCAGTGGTTCAACTGTAAAATTACGAAGCTACGAGAATACTTTTTTGCGCAAAGAAAACAAAAATAATGACTTTATTCCACATTTTCGTCTCTACTGCGTCACTTTGGACGCACGTTCACGACAGTACCATGACGCGAGCATGTGGCAGTGTCTTGGTACTTTTCTGGACCTTGAACGTGGTAGTTACCTTGCTGTCTATGGGAGGGTCAGAGAGCCCTCAGATTTCATCAAAAATATCTTAAATTGTGTTCCGAAGATGAACGAAGGTCTTACGGGTTTGGAACAACACGAGGGTGAGTAATTAATAACAGCTTTTCATTTTTGGGTGAACTAACCCTTTAAGTGGTTGTGTAAAAACAACAGTTTCGCAATTATACACAGCGAGAGTGTGTTTGCATGTTTTTTGAGGGGATGCAGAGTGGATTGGCTGCTGTCTGTATTCATTTTATCATATTTGGAGAGACACTAACCGGCTCTGACAGGGGCACATACAAGGGGTCCGTAAGGTAACGTATTTGGAAAAGCACTATGGAAAAATTATTCACCATCATTTTGACAATTCTCTATCAAAATCAACTTTGACAGCACATTGCTTGCGTCCTATTTTTGTCTTTCTTTTGAGTTATTTCCTTCTTTTTTCTTATTTCTTGCCTCAGGTCATAAAAACATCTCAGGAAAACACTGGAAAAGTCAGAATACAAGATTATGTCCCATTTTTATTAGTGCCATATGAATGTACTCCTTTAGCCCCCCTGGTATTTTTCATTTGATGCAACTTTCTAATTTATCCCTGAGTAAATAGCAGTCGTAATGCGAATGGAATGAAGAGCAGGCATGAGGCGTTTGCCAATGAGAGGAAAGTGTCCCTTCATGCAGCAAATTATCTTCCCAGCACGGAAGCATCTGTGCTCAGCCGAGACGAGAGAAAAACAAGGCTTACCTCTCCTCTCCTGCTCCCTAAAAAAAGCCTAGCAATCAATAGAAAGTTCATTTCAGAAAGGCAGTCTGGTAATCTGTTTGGCTGCATGTGCACCTGTCCCTAATGATCTTTCCAGTACAACAGGATGACCTAATCTTCATTCAAATGAATCGCAGCACAACATGGACAATACTTTATCACTCTCTCTCTTACGCACACAAAGCAATGGAGGCGTGAAGGCCAGAGGAAGACAGATCTGAGTTCAGTGAATTAAAGGCAGTTTAAGAACATGACTTTTTTTAGAGTTAGAAAATGGGAACTATTTTTAAAAAAGGCCTATGCTGTTCATCAGTGCTTAAACTGGTTGTCGCAGGGTTTTATATCTTGCAGTTTTCATGAACAGGTAAAAATTGGTGGAAATTAATAATTTAAGTATTACACAAAATTACGTTTTTTAGCTTATTTTTATAGAACCATACCATAAAATCATTACAAAAAGGTCATTTTAAACACATCAAATGCTTGTGTGAGACACAAAAATACTACTGTTACAGTTTGGGGTCATTTAGATTTTTTCTAAAAAAAACAATTATACTTCTATTCAGCAATGGCATGTTAAACTGATCATAAGTAACAGTAAAGATATTCATAATTTTAACATTTTCTATTGATCAAAATTTCCACAAAAATAATATAGCAGCTTTTTTCTACCTTGATACTAATAAGAAATATTATCAGCATATTCAAATGATTTCTGAAGAATTGTGAGACACTGAACACTGGAGTGATGATGCTGAAAAATCAGTTTTGATATTACAGGAATAAATTACATTTTAAAATAAATTCAGATAGAAAAGTTTTTAAATTGTTACAAAAACAATTTTGTATTTTATACATTGTATTTTTGATCAAATAAATGCAAATAAAAAGGTTTGTCAAAAACATTTTTAATTCAACTAAACCATGCAATTCTGTTTTTGTCCTTTTATATTACAATTTTTTTTTTTTTATGCATTTAGACATGGCTAAAATGTAATATTTAACGTGCAATTATATACGTATACAGGTTCTGAAAGCACCTCCATACAACGATCGTTTGTTGACTAAGACGAAATAAGTGAGCAAATTATTGTGATTTTCACTTTAAGAGACTGACTGTTGCACTATACTAGAAGGGTAGAACAATGCCGATTTTTGATCCCAGAATGTTTTTTCACATTAATAAACAGCATAATGTAAATGTCTCATACAATGCAGCCTGTACGAGGTCAATGTCACTTACAGTATATCTGAGATTTGAAATATCAAAATTCTTGGAAATAAGACATTGCCAAAATAACAGCCAGAGCAAATTCCACACTTCCATACAGCACCACTGGATGGCACCAAAGTACATGTGACAAACTGCACTGTAAATCACAAACAAAACTTCAAATCAGGCACAAAACCAAATAGTTTGTCTACAAGCTTTATTGGTATTTTATTGGCTTATTTTTCACAATGTATTTCACAGACAGTCTTCAGCATATTTTCATCAAAACTGAATTATCATTTACAAATGACCTGCATGAAGAAACAGTGCTTGAAGTTTGTGAGTTTTTAGAGCGTGTGCCGTTTCAGGTATTCGATCCACGATGGAGACGGCAAATTCTGCAAACATGATGTTGATTTTGACATGACAGGAAGGTGATACGTGCTAGTTTGCCCCTTTTTTTTTTTTTTGACTAAACTGCTAAAAACAATGAATAGTTGGGTGAAATATGCCACAACAGATCCCTTTGAAGGCAAGTGCGAAATAAAACTGCTCTTAAACTCTGCTACAGAAGACTAGAAGCATCTTCACCTCTAACACAATTGAATTGCATCAACTTTAACACAGTTACACCACAACACCACTGTGTTCAAGCACGCCAATGTACAAACGAAAAAGGGGAAAAAAAAAAAAAGAGCTAAAAACAAGACTTGTTGTGAAGGAACTTCGTAACCAAAACATTTCACTCCATTTATCATACTGAAATGAATCCAAATGGCCTTCAAACGAGGTGAACGCTTCACTGACTGAATAATAAACGAAAAATCCTCATCGATTCCTGCCTTTGCCAACATCAGTTCCTCAGACTACATTCTGTAATGGTGTTACGTAGCTGCGTTTACTTCAAAACATGGAGAACTAGATCTACTGTGAAAGAGAGGTGACTCTGCTTGTGAGAGAAACTGGTAAGAGGTTTAAAAAGGTTTCATTCTCAGCTACGCTAACAACTCAAACACTGGGGGGAGGGGAGGGGGGTAAAGTTTACATTGCATCGTCTAAGTCCTTTGTCCAAACCAAACACGATTCTGTCCGTCTTCTCTTGTTCCACCATCACTTCTCGTGCACGGAAATAACACACTAGCTAACTTTCTTCACTCTGTCTTTGGCTTTGCTCCGGGAATCTTGGCCTGGATCCTGTTAAAAGACACAAAAACAAAAGAATAACAAACAGGAAAACCATCCCTTTTTAAACTACTAATCATTTATTTAGTAGTGATTTAGTTTAGTAATTTATTTAGTACATTTATACCACTGTTAAACAAGTAAAAAAAAAAAAAAAAAATTATATATAT